ATGGAAGATTTTGTGGGTAAGTCCTCAACATGGTTTTTTACAACAATTATCCACATCTCAGCCCCAAGATATGAAGAGGCCAGATTTCATATATTATAAAAATTTCTCTAACATTTACCATGTGCCAAGCCCTATACTTGGGTCCCAAATGAATGAGAAATAGCCTACAGACTAACAGTGCTCTAGTTCGGTTGGGGACATGATGGCATACACGACATTAAGGGGTGATCAATGCTTAACAAAAAACAGTGTGTGGGGGAACTGTAGGAGCTGAGAAGAAGGGCCTGATCCTGCCAGGGATTTCAAAACAGGCCTCCTAATGGAGATGACACCTGAACTGGATCTTACAAGGTAAAAGTGATATTGGGCCAAGGGAAATAAAAAAGGTGTAGAAGAGGGAGGTGTTCCTAAAGATGAAAGAGCACAAAGAAAGGCAGGAGGGTGAGAAGTATCTTGAGATATATCAAAAACAATTAGCAGGTATTACTGGAATGTGGGTAGTAGGAATAGAGTTGGGGAAGAAAGAGTCAATCTATGGGTCTATAACAACAGCACAAGACAAGGACTTGACTGAGAGGCTTAGAGAGCTGAGTCATTATGGCAAAAAGATGCCAATTTAGTCAATTCACTTAAAGTTTACTGGACTTCTGTTGGGGATAGTTTTTAACACAGGGTCTGGCATAAAGCACATGTTCATTCCAGGTCTTCAGGATAAAAGATATGTAGACAGTTGCTGGTCTAGAAGAGGAGTCAGACAAAGAGAGTACTTGCTCAGTGTGGTGAGTTCTAGTGTTCCGGGATCTGGATGGAGAGTTCATTTATGGCTAGAGAAGGTGGGAAGGGTGACACTGGAAAGGCTTTGTGGGGGAGGAAGTCTTTGTGGTCCATATTGAAGTACATGCAGATATGATGCAGGATATTCGAGAATAAGGGAGTTCCAGGAGAAATAACTTAGAGATAGGAAAGCAGAGAGCCTGACTGATAACAGTCACTGTCTGGAACACTGGAAATCTATAAGAGTTCAAGGAAAACAAGATATATAGGTACCGTTACTCATTTGCTCAAAAACATTAAATAATTCTGGCTTTTATTAAGTACTTACCATGTGACAAGCACTGTTCTAAACACTTTACATGTATTAACCCATTTAATTCTCACAAAACCTTCATGAGGTAGAGAGTTTCCATTTCTATTCATTTTCATTGTATCTATGTGGAAATTGAGACAAAAATATAGTTACTAGTCTAAAGTCATGTAAGTAGTATGTTGGGATTTGTGTGTGTGTGTGGGGGGGGCTGTTTCTATCTTCATGGTCATAACCACTGGGTCTACTGTCTCTCTAAGATAATAACGCAGACTCTCGGAACTTCTCTTCAGTGTTCTATATTGGTCTGTGAATCAATTCTAGAACTTTCAGGTCTCTCAATGTTTACTTAGGCTGGGATTTTGCAGGAAAGGTACATGAGACACATCCACCATGAGTCCACAAATACCACAATCTCACAGGCAAATCATCTTCAAACTGCAAATCTTTATAATCTCTCTTAAATCCATTTTCCTTTATCCACTGTCACTTCTTTAATCCATTACAACATAATTTCTTCTTAATTTCCATTTCTCTCTTGTTATCCTTTAATTCTTTCTCCATACTGACCACTATAGGGATTTTTCTAAAAATCGGACAATATTGCTCCCTTGCTTAAACATCTTTTTTCCCTATTATGTAGACTCTGGAGCAGTGGCCTCTACAGTAAGATATTCAAGAAGATATACAGGGCAAGGGATTGGAATACAACATTTTTATGATTATTCTTATCTTAAAAATAGGAAATTAAGGAACTGGGGTTGTGGCTCAGTGGTAGAGCGCTCACCTAGCACATGCGAGGAGCTGGGTTCGAGCCTCAGCACTACATAAAAATAAATAAATAAAATAAAGATATTGTGTTCAACTACAACTAATTTTAAAAAATAGAAAATTAAGCTTTACCCTTACTGATTTCAATATGCAGGCTCACAATAATATATATATATATATATATATATATATATATCTCACAAATAAATATAGATTGGAGATACATGCTTAATCATCTGTATTGATTAGGTATGTGGAGTCCAAAGTTTGTAGACCCCTGGTCTATAGAAGAATTGAAGCTCCTTGGAATGATATGCAATGCCATTCACACAGTGATATTTATGCTCTCTCTTCTTCCCTACATGCATTTTCCTCTGGCTATTCCAAATCACTTTTGGTCCCCTCATTTTGTTGTTCTCTTACCTCTGAGACTTTGTTAATGCCTCTTCTGATTGGAATGTCCTTCTTCACCTCTTCTTCTGTATTACATCCTTTCACCTTCTAGTTTTAACTCAGGCATCCTTTCATTTATTCTTTCAACTAATATTTATCAAGTACTTATTGTAGGCCAACACTGTTCTAAGTGTTGGGGATCCACTAGTAAACAAACCAACACAAAATCTTTACCTTCCTGGAGTTTATATTCTAGTAGAAGAGGATAGTTAAAACATTTTTAGAAATAAGCAAATTAAATGGTATGTTAGTTCTTAGTACTATGAGAAAAATATAAAGCAGAAGTATGGAAGTATGGGGGTAAGGCCTAGTTTGGGAAAAAGAAAGCATTAGAAAAAGGCATTAGAGTGGCAAGTACAGAGGTCATTAAGGTAACACTTGAGCAAAGACTTGAAGAAGGTAAAGTAGTTAACTGGGCAGATATATAAGGGAAGGGTATCCCAGGCAGAGAGAAGGGCATAAGGCAGGGAAGACCCTAACAGAAGAGTATTCTTTTTCTATTTCAGGAACAATAATAAGATTGGGGATGTTGTGTTGTAAGCAAGTAGGAAAAATACTGAGCATATAGAAGCAATAAGAGGCCAGATTGTGCAGGGTACTGTAGGGCATTGGAAGGATTGCAATTTTTACTCCAAGATCTTTTGGAAGGATCCGAGCAGAGGATAGACATATCTGACTCAAATATCATCACCATCATCATGATTGTTGTTGTTGTTGTTATTATTATTATTAGGTACCAGGGATTGATCTCAGGGGTGCTTAACCATTGAACCACATCCCTATCCCTTTTTTAAAAAAATATTTTTTGATACAGGGTCTTGCTAATTTGCTTAGTGTGGCTTTGAACTTGTGATCCTTCTGCCAAAGTCTTTTAAGCTGCTAGGATTGCAGACCTGCACCATTGTGCCTGGCTTGACTCAAAATTTTAACAGAATTGCTCCGATTTCTATGTTGAGAATACACAGAAAGGAGAAAGAGTGAAAGCAGGGAGACCAGTAAGGGGCTACTGTAATATCCCATGTTAGAGATGATGGTAGTTCAAACTTGACAATAGCAATGGAGGTGATGAGAAGTGGTTGGATTTTGAAGGTAGAGCCAATGGTATTTGCTGGCAGAGTGAATGTGGGATGACAGGAAAAAAAATAAAGGATCACTCTGAAATTTTTGGACTGAGCAACAGGAATTGCCATCAATTGAGATGAGAAAGGTTGAAAGCAGAACTGGTTTGTTGGAAAGTAGGGTCATTAGTAGCTCAGTTGTACCCATATGAAGTCAGATATGCCTGTTTGATGTCCATGTGGAGATGCAGAATACTACTCCTACTGGATACACAAGTCTAGAAAACAAGAAAGAGTTCTGGGCTGGACAGGAAAATTTCAAAATCATCCACACAGAGTTGGTGTTTAAAGCTGAGACTAGACAAGATTATCAAAGGTTTGAGCATAATAAAGGTTAAGGACAAAGCCCTGGTACACCCTAAGATACTTCTGATAGCTAGGTCAGATTTCCTTCTCTAGGTTCCCATTGCTCCTAGTAATGCCCCATACACTGTGCCCCAGCCTCCTTGGTCGAAACACTGATGACATAATGTGGGTACTCTGTCATCCTCTTCACCACACTAGAGTTTCCAAAACAAATATATCCACTTCTCAGTCCACACATATCCTGCACTTAGGGAGTGGTCCAGGCCAAGACAGAATGATTTCAAATTGTATCAAAGGAGTGCTTTCCAAATCTTCTATTTATACAGCCCAGCACCCAAATGGTAACATCACAGCTCACACTGGAGCAAACAGATTAAGCTACTTCTATCCCTGAAGAACCTCAAAAGGCTGAGGGGATCAATATCATGGTGTATCTGTACTATGACACAGGATTTGGAAGACCAAGTCTAACCAATTCTTTCCTTCCCCTCTTTATCACCTTCAGAGAAGCTGATGGTAGCCTGGACTGAAGTGGGGCTGCCCCTCCAGGATGTGTCTGTGGCTGCCTGCAACTTCTGTCACCGTCCTGTGCACTTTGAGCTCATGAGTGAATGGGAACGTTCCTATTTCGGGAACATGGGGCCCCAATATGTCACCACCTATGCTTAAGAAGCCAGCTCCATTGGATGCCCATGCCACCTGTACTTCATTTGGGGCGGGACCTCCTCTTGACCTCTGCTTTGTTATATGCCTCTAGCTTACTTGAATCTGAAAATAAAGAGCAAATTGCAGCATTTTCACCCTCTGTTGGACAGACAGCAGACAAGTACACTATTCTGGGAAACCCTGGACAAGTGCCAGACCCAAAATGAAACCAAATATCACTTGTTATTCTGACCACCCCACTTTACTGACAAGGAAACCCAGATGTGGAAAGAGGAAAGAAATACCTCATATAAAATGGTTTTTCCAATGGTTTCAGCAAAAATCCAGGGATTGACTCTTCACTTGTAGGCCTGAAATATGGGGCCCATGTACCCTATAAAGCTAGGAGATAGTAGATCCTCACTAAACTGCCTAGAATGAAAGAGTAGTTCCCCAGAACTGTATTCAGCAGTGCAGGGAACCACTACAGCCCAGCACTGCTCTCCTTCCTCCCCACTTCCATTATATTAGGCTACAAGCATCTGGCAAACCCAGTTCTGAGATGGCTTCTTTAACTCAACTTTCTGAGCACATCCAAAATTTTCACTCAATGTAGTACACTGAATTTTTTAAAAAACAGACTTTATTTTGAACATATTTCCCCGCAAGAAAAGAAGAGGTTTTTAAATCACAACTTCCTAGGGCAGCTGGTTCTCATGAACTTCTGACAGGAAGGTAGGAAGTGGGGTGAGGGACTGGGTCACAACACTAAGGCACAAGAAGCTCACAAACAAGGATGTAGGCAGGAAGATAGAGGGACAGAGACCTTGGAGGAGGAAGAGGAAGTTGAGGTAGAGGGAGGGACACCTTGGGGGAGGAAAAGAATGAGAAGGAAGACAAAGAAGAAAGAGGAGGCCTGGCATGGTGGTGCATGCCTGTAATCCCAGTGGCTCAGGAGGCTGAGGCAGGAGAATCACAAATTCAAAGCTAGCCTCAGCAAAAGTGAGGTGCTAAGCAATCAGTGAGACCCTGTCTTTAAATAAAATACAAAATAGGGCTGGGGATGTGGCTCAGTAGTTGAGTGCTCCTGAGCTCAATCCCTGGAACCCCCCTCCCCCCAAAAAAAGAGAAGGAAGGGAAGCAAGGAGGCCTTAGGGAAGAAGGCAGCATAGAATGGGTGATCATGCCAGATATCCCTAGGTCTCCATGGGTTCAGCTGGGCTTGCTCCAGAGAAAGAAGTTGCAGCGGGAGGAAAGGTCACTGGGAGGACCCCGGGGCCTGGCACACATGTAAAAGTGGCGGCCCAGGTTGGGTCCTGGCTTTTTTACAGTTCGCATCACACATGGTTCCCTGTGGCCACTGCAGAGGGGCATGGGTGAAGGTCCCCCAAGCACAGACTTCCAGAATGAGGTCCGTAACTCCTTTTCTTCTTTACTCTCTGAGTGCTTGGCCTGCCCTTCTACCTCTCTGGCTATCATCTCCTCTTCTAGTGTCTTTGGGGTTGTGAGGTTGTTCACCAGAGGCAAGCTAAGCAGCTCCAATTCAGGAGAAGTTTTGGAATGGCTGGAGGAGGGCTGGAAGTAGCTCATCAGGTTTGTCTGGCCTCTTCTGGAATTAGCCTGACTTGGCCGAGGCCTGGTTGAGCGCACACGGACTTTGTTTTGCTGCTTCTGTACCTGTGTTTGATTGCTGAGCCACAGCGCTGACTTTTCCAACACAGGTTCTTGTTCACGAGGAACTAGGAAGCGGAGAATCTTGAGCTGGGTACCTGCAAACTCAGGGAGAAAGCGGGTGCACAGAGGAGGGCACTGTTTTGCAGGCACAGAGGACACATTCAAGGTGGCACCCACAGGGCAGTGGTCAGAGCCCATCACCTCAGGTAGCAGGAAGGAGTTCTGGAAGGTGTCTATTACCAGGGTCCTATCCCCCAGCACATAGTCAAGCCTAGAACCATAGTTGAGATGTCGGGCACCACTAACCACGGACCAGCAGGTGAAGGCCCTCTCCTGCTTTGGTTGGAAATAGCGGTAGCTATCAATGAAGGGCCCTCCATGGGATCCAGCCTGGCACTCCAGGTTACTGAGTAAGCTGTCCATCCATTTGCGTCCTGGGTCCTCTTCAAAGCATTCCTAGATACCCAGAAGGGGGAAAATCTGGTTGTTCCAAAAGACTACTGCTCAAGGTCACACACTCGAGAACTGGTAGAGTTGGGATTTGTTTTCTCATTTTCTGATTTCCCTCCATACCATGGTACACTTACCTTGCACTGGTCCATAAATGTCAAATCTGAAAGTCTGTTGTTTTCTTAATCTAAACAATTCCCAGAAATGCTTTTTGAAAGAATGGAAAACAGGAAAAGTAGTTGCCTCTAGGGAGTAGTGGGGCAGAGATTAGGAGTTAAAGAATGTTGGCTTTTCCTTTAAACCCTCTGGCACTATTTGGTTTATCTTGTGTGGGTCAAAACTCTCATTGACCATCCCTTCCTCCTGAAGTCAGAGTCCATAGAGATCCATGTCTTGACTACTTCCTTTGGCTCTGATCCCTGATCCATCCATTCATCTATCTAATCTACCCACTCACACATTCAATACAACAATGTTCACAGAATACCTATTTTGTCTCAGGCATGAAGCTAGGACCAAAGTAGATCTAGTCCTGGGGATAAACAGAATAAAGAGACAACCTCCAGAATGGGAAGAAATAATTGCACACTATTCAACTAACAAGAGATTGATGTTATAAGGAACTTCAAAAACTCGACAACAAAAAACAAACAAACAAAAATAATCAATATCACTAAGTATCAGGGAAATGTGAATCAAAACCACAATGAGATACCATCTTACTCCAGTTAGAATGGCTATGATCAAAAGGACAAAAAATAATAGATGCTGGTGAGAATGAAGAGAAAGACAGTCTCATAACTGTTGGTACCAATGTACATTAGTACAGCCACTGTGGAAAACAGTATGGAGTTCCCTCAAAAAGTTTAAAATCAGGGACTGGGGTTATAACTCAGTGGTAGAGCACTTGCCTCACACGAGTGAGGCCTTGGGTTCGAGCCTCAGCACCACATAAAAATAAACAAATAAAAAATAAAGATATTGTGTCCATCTGCAATAAAAATTATTTTTTAAAAATGTTTAAAACCAAACAGTCATGATTGAGTACTCCTACTTCTAGGTATATATCCAAAGGAAATGAAATCAGTATGTCAAAGAAACATCTGTACTCCCAAGTTCATTGAAGCATTATTCATGATAGCCAAGAAATGAAATCAATCTAGGTGTCTATTGATGGATAAATTAAAAAAAAAAAACACAGTGCCAGGCATTATGGTGCACACCTATAATCCCAGCAACTCAGGAGGCTGAGGCAGGAGGATTGCAAGTTCAAAGCCAGCCTCAGCAAATTAGTGAGAACCTGTTTCTAAATAAAAATTGGGCTGGGGATATAGCTCAGTCAATCTCCAGTATAAAAAAAAGAAAGAAACCATACTACACATATAAAATGGAATACTATTTAGCCATAAAAGAGTGAAATTCTATCATTTGCAGCAAAGGGATGGAACTGAAAGACATCATAAAGATAAGCCAAGCACAGAGAGACAAATGATATCATTTATGTGGAAGCTAAAAATGTTGATCTCATAATCAACTGGTTGCCAGAGTCTGAAAAGGGAAGGGGAGAAAGGGATAGCAAAGCACACAGTTTGATAGAAGGATAATATTCTAGGGTTCTGTAGTATAGTGGAGTGACTATAGTTAGAAACTATTTATTATGTATTTAAAACTAGGTAGTAGAAAGGATTTGATTGGTCCCAACACAAAGAAACAAAAATTTGTGGTGATAGATATGCTAATAATCCTGATTTGGTCATTATATTTTGTATATATGTATGAGCATATCACATAAATGTGTATAATTAAGTGCCAATTAAAAACACAGAAGAAGAGTATTTCACAAAAGAAGCTGCCCCTAGGGCCAAGAACTCAGCATTGGCTGGCTGAGTGAACAGAATTACAGTCAGGAAGAAGGCCAGAGACTAGAGGGACTCTTACCAGGTTGACTGCATCACAGTGGTCAATGCGGCGGTGGGCTGTATTCAGGTCACCCAAAATGATCACATGGCTGAAAAACACAAGGTGGGGTTGTCAAGTGGGCATTCAAGAAAGGGGAGCAGTTGTCCTGAACCATATTTTTTTTCCTAAGCCTAAGGGCTCAGATAGGCCACCTCCCACACCGAGACTAGCCAACAGCTACTTGCGTTGCACCTATCTATCTCTGCCACCATGCCACAACCTGAATTCCTCTACAGCTGACCAACCAAATCCAGTGCTCCAAAGGTGACAGTGCTGTTTGACATGAACACCTCAATCATGTCTACCTAATGCCATTTTTGTTGTACTTCAAAACTGAACTCAGGTAACACTTCCTCTAGGAAGTACCCCTTGATTACTCTAACCCACCCTCACTTTCCTGTCCTTCCCAGGAACAAGACTTTCATTTGCTTCCAGGCACTATTACCACCCTCATCTCATTTCATCCTTAAAACTATTCTGTGAAGTGGGCTTTCATATACTCATTTGACAGATGGGGAGAGGTAGGGATAGCCTTGGTATTCATAGGAGGAGCAAGGATATGTGTTCAGAATATAAAACTCATGGGCTGGGGTTGTGGCTCAGTGGTAGAGCACTTGCCTTGATGTGTGACGCACTGGGTTCGATTCTCAGCACCACATATAAATAAATGAATACAATAAAGGTCCACCAACAACTAGAAAATATTTTTTTTAAAATATAAAGCTCATGTTTGTGTCCCTTTACCTTGTACACACAGTTCTTAAGAGAGCAAGGCTTATTCAGGTGGGCATAGTGATGTCTGCAACTAGGCTTTGAAGGAACAGAAAGACTGTATATACCTTCCAATGGAGCATGACACAAGGTTGGGCACCCAGGACAAACTCAAAGAAGCCTTGCTGCCCAGATTTCCAGTACCTGCCAGCTGCCAAGAGGGCTTCTGCTCGGATCTGTAGCAAACGATAGAAGCGCATCTTAAAGGTCAGCCGCTCAGGCTTCCCAGGGTCTGCGTGGGGGCAGTACACGTTGATAAGGGTCAAGGTCCTCTCTTTTCCTTCCCAAGTGCTGGGGAGAAGAGAAAACCTCAAAAGGGTCAGTTTCAAGGCTTCCCCCACCACACCACATGGCTTCTACTTAATGGTTATCCACAGGATAGAAGAAAAGGATTAGAAAAACACTGAACTCAGAGGACTTGGGGACTGACTACAGGTGAGTCAAGGAAAGGGGCATGTAGGATGCCAACCAAGTAAACCAGGTGATGATGCTACCATTCATTAAAACAGGATACCCAGAAAGCGAGCTACATGGGTTTGGTATTGGCTATGTTGTTTTTGGGGTGCCTATAGTAGTAAAAGGGCTGGATTTCCAGGCCAGTCCCCCACTCTGAGAACTCAAGGTTCATAATGGTACATAATTTGCCAGGGTCACATAGTGAGCAGCCCAGTCACAACTAGAGTCCAGAAAAGGCAAGTTTGGGAACTTTTCTATAATGAATGCATGTTTATAAAGTGAGCTCTCCACATAAAGACTAGAACCAGCAATGCTCAGTGGCAGGGGGATATGGGCTATTACCGGATCTTGTGCTGTGTAAGGAGGGCCCGGCCCTCACTATCCAGAGCTCGGAGCTCCTCTTGTGTGAACTCATCCGTGTTTCCGTAACAACCCACGTCCCCATTCTGGGTGGCAAACAAGCCACTCAGGCCTTCTTCAGCAGCCACTGGGGTAGCGCTGTCCTTACAGAAGGTAGCTACACCTGGGGACAAAGAGGATATCTGAACAGGACTGGCAACCAACAGTCTGTTGTGCAGCCTGTCTCATTCCAATTGTTCCCACAAAAGTTACCTGATACTCTTCATAAAATGTGGCTCACTATTCTTTTAAGGCATTGACAAATTTTCCCAACTCAAGAGCCACGGATGGTTCCCTTGAATGTGGGGCAATTTAATACCTCAGAGCCTCAGTTCCTTCATCTAAAAAGCCACAGAATAATAATAGCTAATGTTCTAAGTATTTTACAGGGACATATGGTAACTGCTCTTAAGTTATTATGTATTATTATTATTACATGGATTACCTATCCTAGTTTTCCAGTTGAGAATTCTGAGGCACAAAGAGATAGTCTTTCCAGAGGGTACACAGGGAGTGAACCATAATTTGAACCCAGGCAGTCAGGATCCAGAGCTCACAAAAATAACCACCACACAATTGTACTTATTGTACAACAAGATAACTTTATACATAAAAATACACTTCATGTAACTTAAATTTTATGGGGCTTTAGCTCTTTGGACTAAAAATCTAAATTTCTTATCACCTTCTCAACAAATATTAGAAACCCTTTCTTCTTACCTGCCTCTATCACTAACACTAATTTAAAATCCCCCAAAACCCAATTTACCAGAATAGCCACTTCGGCTGCGGCTGAAGCTGAAATAGGAGTTATAGCCCTCAACGATAGCCAGGGGCTCTGTCAGCACATCCCCTGAAAAAAGGTATAACATTAAGTCAAAGGTAAAACTAGGACCCAGAACACAAAAAGGCCTGAAATTACAGTTGTAGGCTAATAGTATTGGCACACATCAGAACCAGCGTTGGAAGGAAAAATGAAGTATCTATGATCAAAGAATCTAGAAAGGTAGAAGAGTCAGAGAAGGAATTATATCAATATCAGAAGGCAGGGAAGTGGGGACAGCCCATGAAGTGGAAGGTGGAGAATTAGTGAGTGGGGAGTGAATCAAAACTAAGCCTAGGGGTCTAAATGATGGAAAGGAGCTAGGAGTGGGAAATGGGAACATGGAAAAGGAAAATGGGAATCTGAACTGGGGTGTAGGAAGATAGGAAAATAGCAGATCTGAAATGGTAATGATGAGAGAAGAAATTAGGGATCCTGAGGGAGTGGGGGAAAGGAAATTAGGTCTAAACTTGGGGTGGGAAATGAGGTGGAGATGAGGGTTGGAGTAAATAAAGGGAACTGGAGAAAATTATAAAGTATGAGCAAGAGGCAAAGATGGGGTGGGAATTGGAGAGGGACAGAGAACTGAGGGGTCTGCCTTGGGGGTTGGAGATGGATAGTGCATAGGAGGGGGAATTCAAAGGGCTGAGTTGGGGCAGTAGAATTAGTGGGAATCTGAGTGGATTGGGGGATTTCACAGGTGAGGCAATTAAAGTCCCGTAGAGGACAGGAGATGGGAGTGGGAATTAGGGGATCTAGCTGGGATAGACAATGGTGATTAGGGAGGGAAAAAGATTCTGAGCTGGGTTTAAAGGACTCTAAGTACGGGGAAGTGGGAGAGTGAAATGAGATAGAGCAGAAGACAAAAGTTAGCGGGAAAATAAGAATATGGTAAGGATTTTGGATTATTGAGTGCTCACTAGTCACTTTGGTCTCCTGGAGACAGACAATATCAGCATCCAGTTCATCCAAAATGCGTCTCATGGCCATGGAGGTACTGTTGCTGGTTTCCTGGCACACCACCCCTTGCAGGGGACTTCGGATTCCATTTATGTTCCAGCTCACAATGCGCAACATCCTAGTAAACAGCAATACCTCCGCCACATCCCGCGTCTAAGGAGCGGGCAAACTGCTTGGCGCTCGGAAGTCAGTTAGACCGCGCGTTTGCGCGTGCGTTTGCGCAGGCGTTCTTGTCCGTGCCACGGAAGAACTTGCCGCACGTCTGGCGGGGCCTTGAGTCCCGCAGTTCTCATTGGCCAGAGACGTAACTACGCGCACAGCGAAGGGGCGGGGCGAACGAACGCTAAGAAAGAATGAATGGCGGAAAGCAGGTCCGCGTTTGGGTCCTAACTCCTCTGGCCGTGCCCTGGACCGGACGTTTGCGTCTGACTGTGTTTCTCCTTTATTCAAAAGTTCCCTTGGTGCTTCCGGTTACTTAAGAATGGGATGTCGCCACTTTTTAGGCGGGAAACTCCTTGGACCCGCTCACCGGCCTAAGCCCCACCCCCAACACGGCAGATAGCCCACCTAAGAGCCCTTTTGGCTTTGGCACTTGTGCCCTGGGAGTTGCAGACACTCTGTGTTTGCACGCTCCAGGGATGAAGGGAACTTCACGGTTGGAGGAGAGAGCGCTAAGAGCTTCTCTACTGAGATAATATTTTAGTAGATGACCTCTGGCATTATTGAGGCAGAAGGCGGGGGGAGACTGTCTCAAATCCGCCCTGTGCCTAATTTGTCTTGTGTCTCAGAGAGTCTAGAAGAATGTGGCCAGACGTGTACTTGCTCTTGGCTCCATTTGTCAGATGAATTAAATTGAGGTCCAGAACATTTAAGCTCCGAAGCAGCACTGTCTGTCCCCTGATGCAGCTGTGTTTGTCCTGTATACATCATCTCTTTCATTCCCAGGTAAACCTTGGAAGGGGTGTAGAAGTTGAGTGAATTCACTTCAGTCTCACAGAAGTGATAGAGCCAGGATTCAACCTCTTCCTTAAACAGGTCAAGAATTACTTTTCTAAGTAAGATTTTATGGACTACACACCTGTCACCGAAGTCTTCCCCTGGGTCCCCACAGCACTCTATGGTTCATGCTGTCACAGCATTTATCACAATCAGCAGCTATCATTGATTTCTATTTCTGTTGCCATTAAACTGCCAGCAACTCTAGAGCAATGACATATGTATGAGTCATCTTGTTAGCTCCATTTCCTATTACTGGACACAGTATATCTTAGAGGGAATTGAATATTTGTTAGACGAATGAACAAAGGGCAACAGCAACAGGTTCATTTTTTTTTTTTTTGAGAGCACAAAAACAGAAGAGATACACATGCTTAATATCCAGGGGAAAATATAACATTGTATTTTTAGGTTTCTTATCCAGAATTGCAACATAGTTATTTTTTTCCACAGAATTTTACAGTCTTAAAGACATCATCTTCTGTGGCTGCAAAAAAGACCTAGCAAACTGCTTTTCCTCCCAGAGGACTTAAAGTTTACCTACTACTTGTTGCCATCAGAAAAGAGCTCTATAATTAAAATGTGTGTGAGTATGTGTGTTGTGTGTGTGCACACGCGTGCGTGTCTTGAGCTTTTTCATGCTTTGGGATTTGCTGATTTAGTATTGAGTCCCAGGAGTGGGATAACTAGGACAAAGGAAATGAACATTTTTATTGCTCTTGCTTCATATTGCAAATTGCTTTCCAGTAAGGAATTGTGCCCATTTACACTCAAGACTGATCTGAAACTCAGCCCCAAGGAAGGCCAGATCTTGCTTGTCTCAATAGCTGGTTTTAATTTCCCCATTCTGTCGTGGCTTGTTAATATTAGTTCTGACCTTTGGGGCAAGGTGAACACATGGTTGGACTGAAGAGAAAAGGCTCAGGAACTCCTTTGGCACTACAACAGCTGATATTTCAACAGAGAGTACACTACACCCCTTAACAAGGGTGCTTCCTCAGCCTTCCCAGGAACCGACGAACATCTCCAGGTTCCCTCTTTGATGCCACCCACTGGACCTGCTTTGGGGGTCTGTAAATGCAAGAGAACTGAGTGTTGGATAATTAAGGATGGAAGAAAAAACCTCTAAGAGAACAGGTAGGTGAGAAGGAAAAATAGAGAGGAGTTACACAAATCTAAATCCATTCTTTGGGCTCATTGGAAAGTTTTGTTTGCAAGGTGTTTGTTTGAGGTATGCATTAAATGGTATGAGAGAGTTGGGAAAAAACGATTTCTATATCTAAACTATCTGTATTTTTAATCTACTTTTACCTGAATTTGTAGGACAGCGACCTAAAGGGCAATTCCCTAGCACAATTAGAAGTATCTCCAACTTAGTCTAGTACAGTTTTGAATGAAATGTGTGATATAGATATCTCTTCCCTCTCCTATAGTATATAAAGTAGGGTTGATTTGCTGTGACACTTTGAACAAACTTTCTAGTTTCTCCAGGTGTCAATAGCTCATCAATAAAATGGAAATTAAAGTCTCTAGCCTACTTCCCTCAGAAGGTTGCCTGAAGATCAAGAGGGGCAGAAGGACATGATCCAAAGCTCTTTGGAAACATTTTAGGATTTTCATACTCTGTGTGAAATTAGTTATCATGCTTTGTACATAGCATCTACAGGCAATACAACCCACAAATCTCTAACTGCTCTTCTCCCTCAGTGACTATAGTGTATGGAGAGTTACTCCTAGGACTAGGATGCAGTGAGCTTTGGGTCCCAAGCATGGGGCTGAAAATAGGGGGATGGTGGCCAGGGCCGAGGCTGCAAAGGAAGTGGATCATAGGCTACTGCCACAGAAGGCCTGATATGTACTCATACATACACATCTAACCTGCAAGTATGTGGCTAACTCCCCTTTAGTCTCCCACAAATTCATCCATACACACATTCCAATAATTATCAATTGTGATTTTATTGCCCATCAGTACTGTCTTGCTACTTTAAGTAGGATTCCTTCCTTCATTCAGTATTTGGCAGAGGGGTGTCAGGGTCTGTGGATCTCTGGAAATCACATTGTATATTTTTCTTCCCTAAAGATAGCTACATTTGGACTTTATGGCTGAGCACTCAGTTTGAGTAAGAATCTGATACTGATTAAACCCTATCCCTGCAAGCAATTCATTAGACCCTCTCAGATGGGGCTTTATTCTTTTGTTTATTCTGTTCTGCACCATTCAAGGTTGAGAGACATTTCTAGATGCCACATTCTACCTTTTAACAAGTCAGTTCTCCCATCCACTTCCCTACACAGCTCTTTGTTTTAACACTTACCTTGATAGAACGGTGTATCTCATCTAGAGCAGAAAAATGTAGACTGTACCAATATTCATTGAGCAAATGTTTCCTCTGTGCTAGGGCCTGAGCTGGACACTGGAAATATATCACCAGGGTTTATTTCCCATCTTCATGGATTCCACAGTCCAGCATGAAAGCAGATGAAGAAAACAGTGGGGCTAATTGCTCAGATAGATGGAGGCACATGGGCAATATGAGAACTAAAGACAAAACCTCTCCCAAGGATCCAGAGTCAACTTCCCAGAGAAGATGAATGTTGAATCAGACCTTGAAGAGTGAGTTGGATTTCATTAAGAATGGAAGGGAAGGAAGGTATTCCAGGATACCCAGAGATAAGGGGAAAAGCCCAGAAATAGGAAAGTACATGGTATATTTTGGGTCCCAGTGAGTCAGTCAGTGCAATTTAAATGTGGATGTTTAAGGGAAATATGGTTGGGTAGGTAGGTTGGTGCTTAAATTAGAAGAGGTTTGAAGGCCAGGCTGAGGATTTTCCATAAAGCTTGTTTATTTCTCCTTCTGGAGTCAGAATTGGTAATAATGGTAAAAAGTCTTATAGTTAGTTTCAGATAATATTAAATTTGAGTTTTCAAGCCTAGACCCCAAGTTTATCCTTTCAGACCTTGTCAAAAATCCACTAGCCACCCATCTCAGATTTCCTGCTACTAAAATTATCTTCCTGCCTCTTGGCAGGTTCATAAGGACAGAATTGTAAACATAAAAAACATATTCATGTGACCGACTAGATTACCTTGGACAGTCCACTTCACCTCCCTAGATTTTAGTTTCCTTGTCATGTGAATCAGATGTGTGTAAGGAATAAATAGGATAAAGGATATGTTATTGCCTAATGGGCAATTGAATACATATGCAAAAGATTTATTATTAGTTATTAGCATTAACAGAGTTTTACCAATTAGTAATTAATTGGTAAATATTAGGATTAGGAGAGTTGTATCTCTTCCGAAGTCTGTCTCTGAGACTCTACAAATTCTAATCTAATCTAATCTGTAAGGCTACATTTTTAAAATGTCTAATTTTTATTGACACATAATTGTACATATTTATGGAGTATCATGATATTTCAATACATGTATACACTGTGCAATTCTAAGATCAGGATAATTGGCATATCTATCATCACAAAAATTTATCATTTCTTTGTGTTAGGAACATTCAAAATCCTTTCTACTACCTATTTTGACATGCACAATTAATTGTTGTCAACCATAGACAACAGTGTGCTATAGAACATTAGAAGTTATTCATCCTATCCAACTGCATTCTGTACCTTTTAACCATTCTCTCTCGATCCCACTCCCCTTCTTAGGCTCTGGTAATCAGTGTTCTATTCTCAACTTTTTGAGATCAACTTTTTAGTTTCTGCATATAGGTGAGAACATGCTGTATTTGTTTTTCCATGCCTGATGTAGTTCACTTAACATCATGCAAAATACCACATTCTTAAATCAAACTAGCTTGATCAGTTAACCAAAGAAAATCCCTGGAGTGGGAGAACTTAGGTTCCCACTGTTCTACTCATGACTTGGCGACTGATTCTCTTTCTTTTTTTTAAATTTTTTTAGTTATAGTTGAACACAATATCTTTATTTTATTTATTTATTTTTATGTGGTGCTGAGGATTGAACCCAGTGCCTACACCAACCAGCTGAGCACTCTACTGCTGAGCCACAATCCCAACCCCTTGGCCATTGATTTTCTATGTGATCTTAGAAAACCATTTTCCTTCTCTAGACCTCAGTTTATTTGTTTGTTTTCACCTGAGAAGATGAGATGAAATGATCTATATGTGGCTTCTCAACTTTAACATAAGTCTTTACATAAAACCAAAAAGGTGTAAATGAAATCATCTTTCTATTTGATTCTCAGGAG